AGTGGGGGTGTTCGCATGCGGTTCCCCCACCCAGGGCAGCGTTTCGTGGCCCCATAGGGAGCTCCACCGAAGGCCCCAGTGGGGGTGTTCGCATGCGGTTCCCCCACCCAGGGCAGCGTTTCGTGGCCCCATAGGGAGCTCCACCGAAGGCCCCAGTGGGGGTGTTCGCATGCGGTTCCCCCACCCAGGGCAGCGTTTCGTAGCCCCATAGGGAGCTCCACCGAAGGCCCCAGTGGGGGTGTTCGCATGCGGTTCCCCCACCCAGGGCAGCGTTTCGTGGCCCCATAGGGAGCTCCACCGAAGGCCCCAGTGGGGGTGTTCGCATGCGGTTCCCCCACCCAGGGCAGCGTTTCGTAGCCCCATAGGGAGCTCCACCGAAGGCCCCAGTGGGGGTGTTCGCATGCGGTTCCCCCACCCAGGGCAGCGTTTCGTGGCCCCATAGGGAGCTCCACCGAAGGCCCCAGTGGGGGTGTTCGCATGCGGTTCCCCCACCCAGGGCAGCGTTTCGTGGCCCCATAGGGAGCTCCACCGAAGGCCCCAGTGGGGGTGTTCGCATGCGGTTCCCCCACCCAGGGCAGCGTTTCGTGGCCCCATAGGGAGCTCCACCGAAGGCCCCAGTGGGGGTGTCGCATGCGGTTCCCCCACCCAGGGCAGCGTTTCGTAGCCCCATAGGGAGCTCCACCGAAGGCCCCAGTGGGGGTGTCGCATGCGGTTCCCCCACCCAGGGCAGCGTTTCGTGGCCCCATAGGGAGCTCCACCGAAGGCCCCAGTGGGGGTGTCCACATGCGGTTCCCCCACCCAGGGCAGCGTTTCGTGGCCCCATAGGGAGCTCCACCGAAGGCCCCAGTGGGGGTGTTCGCATGCGGTTCCCCCACCCAGGGCAGCGTTTCGTGGCCCCATAGGGAGCTCCACCGAAGGCCCCAGTGGGGTGTTCGCATGCGGTTCCCCCACCCAGGGCAGCGTTTCGTAGCCCCATAGGGAGCTCCACCGAAGGCCCCAGTGGGGGTGTTCGCATGCGGTTCCCCCACCCAGGGCAGCGTTTCGTAGCCCCATAGGGAGCTCCACCGAAGGCCCCAGTGGGGGTGTTCGCATGCGGTTCCCCCACCCAGGGCAGCGTTTCGTGGCCCCATAGGGAGCTCCACCGAAGGCCCCAGTGGGGGTGTTCGCATGCGGTTCCCCCACCCAGGGCAGCGTTTCGTAGCCCCATAGGGAGCTCCACCGAAGGCCCCAGTGGGGGTGTTCGCATGCGGTTCCCTTACCCAGGGCAGCGTTTCGTGGCCCCATAGGGAGCTCCACCGAAGGCCCCAGTGGGGGTGTTCGCATGCGGTTCCCCCACCCAGGGCAGCGTTTCGTAGCCCCATAGGGAGCTCCACCGAAGGCCCCAGTGGGGGTGTTCGCATGCGGTTCCCCCACCCAGGGCAGCGTTTCGTGGCCCCATAGGGAGCTCCACCGAAGGCCCCAGTGGGGGTGTTCGCATGCGGTTCCCCCACCCAGGGCAGCGTTTCGTAGCCCCATAGGGAGCTCCACCGAAGGCCCCAGTGGGGGTGTTCGCATGCGGTTCCCCCACCCAGGGCAGCGTTTCGTGGCCCCATAGGGAGCTCCACCGAAGGCCCCAGTGGGGGTGTTCGCATGCGGTTCCCCCACCCAGGGCAGCGCTTCGTGGCCCCATGGGGAGCTCCACCGAAAGCCCCCGTGGCGCAGTTCGCATGCGCTTCCCCCACCCAGGGCAGCGTTTCGTGGCCCCATAGGGAGCTCCACCGAATGGCCCCAGTGGCGCAGTTCGCATGCGGTTCCCCCACCCAGGGCAGCGTTTCGTAGCCCCATAGGGAGCTCCACCGAAGGCCCGCCCCGGTGGCGCAGTCCGCATGCGGTTCCCCCTATCCAAGGCAGCGCTTCGTGGCCCCATATGGAGCCCCACCGAAAGCGGCACCCACAAAGAAACAACGCTACTACTACTACTACTACTACTACTACTACTACTACTACTACTACTACTACTACTACTACTACTACTACTGGTTGAAGTCATAGTAGTCGAAGCCGTTGGAGTCGCATTAGCAGGAGTAGTAGTAGTAGTAGTAGTAGCAGTAGTAGTAGTAGTAGTAGTAGGGCAGACTGCCCTCTGGCTGCAAGCCGTTATTGTTGTTGTTGTTGGTGTTGTTGTTATTGGTGGTGGTGTTGGTGTTGTTGTTGCCGGTTGTTGTTGCTGATTATTGTTTTTCGTGTGTTGTTGTCGTTGGTGTTGTTGTTGGTT